AAAAAAAAAAGGTCGAGGCCTTCTCGTTTAGGCCAAAGCGCCTACCCGGAGAAAAAGGGGTCCCGTGTCTCAAGAGGTCTAGACCCAATCCCGTCATTTCCCCCGTTCTCCCCCGTTGCAGCGGAAATGAGGAGTGGCATTCGATCGATGAAATCGAGCATGAAGATCGACTTCTCTTTGTATTGGGGTGGTCCAGAATATTTCCAGCGCCGACCAACCTACGTTGTACACTCTAACCCCTGTTTAATTATATGTGGTGTACTTGCGGATCCGTATAAACCAATAGTGTCACGAGAATAAGTGGAGTAGACTACAAATAGATACATATTTCTGTATATAAAATATAGGGGCTTAGATATACTAAACCGCGGGACTAGGTATCCTGGCAAGTAACCTTATAACCCCTTAACAAGTAAAGTCGATATCGTATAGAAGCACGTACCTAGGTGTTGTTAGTGGAGGTACGTTCCTCGAACCTTCTTGAATTTCCTAAAAGAGTAAGTTACGAATGTACCTTAAACATAATTAAACAGGGGTTGTATAGTACGAATAGCAGTACGGAGTATTTGTGATTACGTACCACTACTTCGTCCAGCCGAGTCTCTTTGGTTAGAAGGAATCTGCCGTCCGGAATACTTAATTCAAAGTAGGTAGCTATACGTAGTCCAGCTTCGAATGGTACCCTCGATGGGTATCCAGGAACAAGGTACGGATGTTCGTAAACGACCAAGTCAATCCAACAATGCCCTCTGTCCTTTTTATTCTTCAGACAGACCGTCTTTCTCCTTCCTGCACTTGCAGTTTGCATTGTTTCGCCATATTCTCCTCCGTACGTGTACAAAAAAGCCTTGAAGCTACCCATAATCATTCAGCACGCTGTTATTGGTTAGACAGATTCTGTACCTGCATTGGGATATTAACCGTCCCACTTGGTACAGAGATGGCCTGAGCTTGGTATCTCTTGGCAGGCATCGGATTAACAGATCTACGAATAAGTACCAAGTACGCACACGCCCGTACCGGTACTCAGGGGCAGCACAAGGGTTTTTTTGGTGGAAATCTCGTTCACACCTGGTCTCTGATATTGTACTCAATAGTTGTAAGCACCTATATATACACGCTCAACCAATATGTCCAAGAATGAAAATCAATCGGCCATCACATCCCCAAGGATATTGACTCCATGTCCCCTCGAACCGGCCGATAGTTCAAGGCCAACGGTCTGTCCTCCGTCCTCCCCCTTTCGTCTCACCACCCACGCACTGCAGCATCCTTCTTAAAACTGAGCACGGCCGACGCGGCGAACGACCCGCTCGGTGCTGCGCCTGGCCTTCTTGGCCTTCTTGCTCTGGGTGGAGCGGCGGCGACGACGACGGCGGCACTCGGCGGGAGGAGTCGGCGCCGAGCTGGGCTCCTGAGCGAGAGAAGTAGTAACGGTGACGAGAGTGGTGGAAGGCAGGACGGTCGAGAAGACGGGCTCCGGGGCGGTGTCATCGTCGTCACCAGGCGCCGGGGTAGGTGCGGGGGCAACCGGGACGGTGCTGCTGGGGACCTCTGGCTCTTCGGGAGCAGGGCTGGCGTTGCCGCCAGTCCAGACTTCCGGGCCGGGGATGAGGTATTCGCCGCCGTCGAAAGTGTAGACGTTGAAGACAATGCCCGGGTCCGCGTAGGTGTAGCCGGTGTTAAAGTCGAAGCTTTGGTCGGGCACGCTGGAGCCGCCCGAGGTGATCTCGACCTGGACGCAAGACGGGTAGAACTGGGCGCCGCGGGCCGGATTCGCCTCGAAGCTGACCTCGGACTCGTGGTGGGCGATGATCTCCTGGCGGATCAGGTACTGGCCGGGCGCCAGGTCGGCCGGCAAGTCGAAGTCCTGGAGGCCGTTGTTGGCCTTGATCTTGTCGACGGCCCACCGGGAGCCGTCCCAGCCGTCCTCGGCGATCTTGGTCCAGATGGGGCCGGTGCCGTCGCCGTCGGTGTACTGGGCGATGTAAGTGATGATGGGGCCCAGGTGGGAGCCGTCGATGATGTCGTCGTCGCGCGTGTTGTGGTACCACTCGAAGCTGAGGGTGTCGCCGGCGGCGGCCTCGACGAAGGCGGGGGCCGGGTTGGCGCCGTTGGGACCGCAGACGATGTCGGGGCTGGCGAGATCCTTGACGGGGCTGTTGTTGGGAGGCGAGCGGATGTACAGGCGCTGGCCGTCACCCTGGTCGACGCCGTTGACCCAGACGCCGTACATGAGGGCGTGGCCAGAGACGGTGCTGGCCATGGCCAGGGCAGAGGCTGCAGTGAAACGCATGGTGTTGGTGTATTTCTGTTTCCTGTTTTCTGTTTTCTTGCCTTGCTGGTCGTTTGTCCGAAGTGAAAAGAACGTCAAATGTGCTCGAAGGGTTGCACCTGATGTAGTCGAAAGTATAATCGAAAGGGAGTGTGAGTTCGAACGTCGAGTTCGGGATCAAATGAATGAATGAATGGCACAGCCAAGAAAGAAAGAATTGTCTGGCAAAAAGGTGAGAAAAGGAATGAACCGACAAACACAGCGACTGCACGGTAGGGAGAGGAAAAGAGTAGGAAAGCCTTGAGGGAGACGAACGACGATGCGACTTTATATTTCATCACGAACACCGAACACCGCCTTACTTGAGGGGTAATCAGGCCTGTCCAGACCCCTGAGCCTGAGCCAAGGGTTGGGGGGCCCATCATGGCACTTCATTTCGCCATGACGCCAGAAAGGATGGGCAACTTGAGATTGCAGGCGTAGCCATCCATGGTCTGTCTCTCATCAGCCATGCTCCCTGGCCTTGGAAAGTTGGACGTCCGGGGTGTATGGACTGCAGATTGCGAATGGGGATCTCCCATCAAGTATTATCCTTGGCCGGGAATTGGTCCAAAAGGTTCAGAGGTCCAAGGAGAATCGTCGTATCCCGCGAGAGAGAGGGGCAGTCGACACACCGTCCATCTCTCGGCTCCAACCGAGATGGGAGTTGATGATGGTACGGTCACTGCGGTGGTGGTAGTATAAGGAAAGGTAATTGAGAGGTCACTTGTGGATCGAGGAGAGCCCTTGGAACAGTGATGAAACAACGACATGGAAGCCCAGCCCCACTTACCATGCCTTCAACCGGCCAGTTGATTGGTCAATAGTGCAAAACCCAGCCATGTGTGTACATGTCTTTTACTGACCTAGGGATCTCCAGGCTCAACTTCCATGCCATTTGATCCCAAGGTATTCAGCTTCAGCAAAGCTTTTAAAGATTTAACGAGACGGCTGTGTCGCAATGTCTACACTATTGACCCTTGCCAGGTGAATCCCGCATCTGGGCCAGCGTCCATTTATCAGAAACATAACGGCCGGGGTTCGCAGTCTACATACCTTATTATTCCCTCACTTGCCGGACGTCCTTGTTTCAGTACACGCCAATGTCCTGTGCCTTGTCTGGACTATATTAACTGCATGTGCGTAGTTAGTGCTAGACAAGCTTTGGCTGAGCAAGCCATGCTCCTTATTTGCAGTTAGGAAGCGAAGTTATCGCATCCCATCGCCTTGCCTGCCATGTCAGGTCTTCTCCTGGGCCAAGGCATGTATCAAAATACTCACCCCAGTCTTGGGCTAGGCGCTTACAGCTCGTCTTTCCTTATCACATCATCGTTGAGCTTCTGGGGCACGCTGAGATCGTTAAAAAAAAACTCTTGACTCGGAGAGTATCCGTGAACATGGCTTCCTCCAAGGAATATCGAGTTGCTTATGCATCAAGCCATGAGTCTCGTCTTTCAATCAAGCCGAGACGCGGATTTAAACGTTTCACTGCTGCATATGATGAATCGAAAGAGGAGCGGGGGGGAGAAGGGAAAAAAGAAGAAAAAGTCGTCAATTCCGTCATAATACTCCATACCTAGTCAACACCCCTCTCGCACTCACAGCTTCACATCACTCCAGTAGTACGTCCATATATCCACCCCCAAAAACTCATCCTTATACTTCCCCGCAACCTCGTCCCCACCAGCACCAGCAGAAACCAGCAGCGGCATAAAGTGCTCCCCTCCGCCTCGGGGATGCATCTCATAAGAATGAGGAAACTCCCTCCACCGCGCCAACCTTGCCGCCCGCTCCTCACTACCCTCCGTCTCAACCGCCGGCGTCAACGCGCCGGAAAACTCAGCCACCTTCCGCGCAACCCGGGAAGTCCGGACCGGGTCGCCCGAGAAAAGCGGCATCATCTCCGCCAGGTTGTGAAACGACGCGAAGCCAGAACCGACGATGGCGACGTTGGAGTCGCGCAGGCGACCGAGGGCGCGGCCCATCTTGTGGTGTTCCTCGGGGGACTCGGAGGCGAGCACTGAGAGCTGCACGATGGGGATGTCGGCCTTGGGGTTGATGAGGAGGAAGGGGATGAAGACGCCGTGGTCCCAGCCGCGTTCGTCGTCGAGGACGGGAGTGAGTCCTTCCTTTTCTAGCGCGGACTTGACTTCCTGGGCTACGTCGGGCGAGCCGGGGGCGTCGTATTTCAGACGGTACGACTCCGGGGGGAAGCCGCCGTAGTCGTAGTAAAGACGATGCTGGGAGGCGGAAGAGATGGTTGGGTTGCGTTGGGACCAGTGGGCCGTGACGACGACGATGGCGCGGGGAGCCTCGTCGGTGCCGAGACGCAGAAGTTTGGGTACGCGGGTGGTGAGGGAGGAGACGATAGATTTGTGGCTGGGGTCACCGAGGACGGGGAGAGGGCCTGGAGGTGTCAGCGGGTGAAAGTACAGTTTTTGAGTGGATAAGAGAACAGGGAGAGAAGAGAGCGGGGAAAGAGTCTTAAACTTACCTCCGCCGTGGGAGATGCAGACAACGGATCCACGCGGCATGGCGGATGAGGTTGAGGTAGAAAACGTGGAAAATGTGCGAGGCGCCGTGTGTCGAACGACAGCGTATGTGAGATAGGTGGCAACGAGGTACTTCAGGGGTCTCAGAAGCTGCCCTGGTTGCATTCTCGAGGTCAGAGCTGGCCTTTTGTCGATAGATCTTGATTCTCTTCCAACTCACTCGAGCGAGGGACCATATATATAGGGTCTTCGTGAGTGAGTGGGAAAATAGGATCAAGGTCTGGATACGACGTCGGTACTCGGCAGGTGACAACGGTAACGTCGTGGAACCACACCGAACGCGGCTATCGGTGAGAGCGAATACGGAGTAGGAACCAACACCAATAATACGCTAGGTCGGTAAAGCGAAGTAAATTGGTCACCTGTGTCTACTAATAAGGGACTTTGTCATCATCTGTAAGAACACACGCCGTTGTATGGAGCAGATTTGTTAAGCAATTCCTCCTTGGTTACTAATAGCGACAGTAACCTCGTGTGACGTGACTCGGCAACTTAGTAATGCGCATCACGAGGGATCCTGTCATCGTAGCCTCAACGAAACGAGCCCCGGTTGGTTGTTATGTATTTTTCAAGACGTCCAGATATCCAAAAAGGCTAGACCTCACATTAAAGCGAACAGCTACTGCCGCATGTACACCGACACCTGCCCCCGTCCACTCACAGCGCGAACCCTCCCATCAATCTCCAGCGGACTCCCTTCAAAAACGACAAACCGCACCGTCTTCGGTTCCTCAATACCCAGCATGGTATAAATGTTCCTGGACACCAAATCCAACGCCGTCATCTCGTCCAGCCTCCCCCCGCTATTCTTCAACGCAATCCCCGCCAACAAGCCAAGGTCGCGCACGAGCCAATCCTCCTCCAGCCCGATGGCCGTCACCACGCCCGCATCCAGGAGGGCGTCGATGGCGGTCCCGTTGGTGAGAGGCGCGCCGGTCAGGGCACGGCGCTGGTCCCAGGAGGTAGCGAAAGATTGGAACGGAGCGAGGACGACGCCCACCTCGGCGGCGGCCAGTTCGGAAGCCACGAGGTGAGACTCGGCCCCACCTAGGATTACCAGTCGCATCCGTGCCGGTGACGACGACGACGACGACGACGAGTCGGAAGCCTTGCGGACGAGAGCCTTCTCCACGTCGTCCTTGAGCCGCAATGCCGCCGCAATAACATCGGCGCTGTGCGCGGTGAGGACTAACGGAAGCTCCCCCTTGACGACCTTTCTAAGGTAGGCTTGTTCGGAGTATGGTTCCGCGGTCTCCTCCTCCTCCTTTTCCTCCCCACGGGACGAGACGGAGGCGGCGGCTTTCAAAAGTGATTTCCGCAGAGTCGAAAAGACGCCGGAGATGGAAGGCTGGGCGTCGGACTTGGCACCCAGCGTCACGGTGTAGTGAACGGCGACGTCCTCCAACCAGACGGCATCCTTCTCCAGCGCGTGCTGCGCATCCGTCACGAAGCCGACGCTCGTTCCGTAGTGCGATAGTGCGCTCATGAATCGGGGTGCCGAGATGGCCTTGGTGATGCCGTATTTGTGGGCGGCATGGAGCTTCTTGTTGTCGAGGGTCAGGCCGTCGATGGCGCGGCTAAACTCCTTAGGGTTGAAACCGTTGTCCGTGTCGCGCTCGTAGTCTATAGCATTCAGCCCGATGGTAGCGCCAAATGCAGTGAAAGCCTTGACCAGATACCCGTTCTTGAGGTGTATGATGCGATGCGAGGGTGCCGCTTCTATTCGGGAAGTACAGGTTCCAATGCAGATGATCTCACCGCCTGTGACGACGACGTTGGTTGTTCGTCGTCTTTCTATCGTCGAGGATCGGAGGAGAATCTTGGTGACACCAGTGAAGATAACGTCTTGGAAGACTTGTTCAGTCTCTTCCGCAGATTCGCCCAGCCTCTCATCCGGGGTGATGGGATTCGTTACTGGTTTATTATCAAGCTCGACCGGGTCTTCAAACTGAGCGTATCCGTCGATCCACACCTGCAACGGGGTGGCGCCGACGCTGAGCGGGTCGCTGTCCCAAACAACGAGGTCGGCGTCGTACCCGGGCTTGACTTTGCCCAACCTCTGGCCGAGGCCGAGCAGGTCTGCCGGGGCTGTAGTCACGCTGGCCAAGGCGGCGTGGTAGGGCAGGCCGTATCGGTAGGCCTTGGCGGCCTCGAAGACGACGTGTTGGGCGTTCAGGACGGGGTTGTCGCTGACGTAGACGGGCGTCAACCCGTGGTCCCATAGGATCTTACCGGCGTGTTCTGAAGCGACGTGGGCCTCGGCCTTGTAGAACATGTTATCGGCGAAGAGGGCAGATGCTGGCGGCCGGTCGCCCCAGGCCCGCTTCAAGATCTGGGAATGGGGAAAGTGATGTCAGCAAAAAGAAAGAAAATGATAAAAATAAAGGGAGGGGTGATTTGTTGATTCTCACCTCGGGAACAAGAAAAGTCTGGTGGGCATGGTGAAAGGCCCGCACGGGAAATTTGAATTCGTTGGTGTGATCAACAAAAGCCTCCAGGTCGGGAACAGTATAGCAGTGCGTATTCACATGAACCTGACCGCGCAATACGGCACCCAGAGTCTCCCAGGCCAGGTCGCGGGGTAGATACTCGTCCATACTCTCCAAGCCCAGGGTGTCGGCGCGGCGGCACCAATCGTCCTGCCTCCGGACCAGGTCAGCAGCCTGTTCAAAGGCGTGGCGGAACTCCCAGCTCTCGCCCAGGCGGGAGAAAGGGCCGCGACCGATACGGCCGTAGACGCGCTTGGGGTTCTCGCCGCAGGCCATCTTGATGTAGCGCCAGTTGCGGTCCGGGTCGGCCAGCATGTCCCGGGCGGAGATCTCGGGCCGGCCGTCGCGGTCGCCGACGGCGTGTTTGAAGACGAAGGCCTCGCCGCCGATGTTGTTTCCGGAGCCGGGCAGGACGAGGGACGTGGTGACGCCGCCCGACTTGATGACCTGGATCTGGGGGTCGAGCGGGTCGAACCCGTCAATGGAGCGTACGTAGGGCGTTGTGTCGCTGGAGAGTTCGTTTGTGTCGTCGGTGCCGGCGAGGTCGGGGAGAGGGCTCACGCCGGTGTGGGAGTGCATGTCGATGATGCCGCTGGTAAGTTGGCGGCCGCCGGCATCCCAGATGAGGGTGTCTTCAGGGACCGAGTCGGGCGAGATATGGGACTCGACCCTTTGGATGAGACCATTCTGAGAGAATATGTCGCCCCGAACCCACGAGTATCCCTTACCGGCGCGTGCTTCCTCGGGTGATGTTCCTGGTTCGGGTTCTCCCACCCAGATAGTGGCGTTCCGAATCAGAGTCGGTTTGTGGCCTTGGACATGGCGCGCGTTCCGTTCCCGACCGATTCCTCTAGGGTCCTGGGGCTTTTTGCGAAGTTCAGAACAGGTTCGGAGGTCCTCCTGGAGTTGGTTGGATGAGAGCAGAGGCAGAGGTTTGCGGGTTGGCGGGAGTATTTGCTTCCATTGGGCAAAGGCGATGAAGGCAAGACATGCTAGGCAAGACAGGGAAATGACCTTGAGGCTTCTCCTGCGACGCACCCATCGTCTGGAGCGATGTGAGCCCACCTCCACGCCTTGCCGTTTTGTGTTCCCTTCGGCAGAAGGGGCAGGCTCATAGCGACCCTTGATATTGGGTCCCATGGTATGGCTCGAGACTGTAAGCCAACCAAGCCAACCCCGTGACCCAGGCGGGCTATTAGTTCTGTTAAGAAAGAATGAAGAGGTTTTGTAAAGTCGTACACCTGACCCTCCAAAAAAGAAAATCAACGGCCAAGATGCAGACTGATTTCCGTAGCTCTAGACCACAGTGACGCGACTAAGGTCGTGTCTGGTCAGGACGCAACGCGGATGGAGATAACGGACAAGGTCTCGGCCCCTGACGGGGATACACTGTGAGCAGGTACTTTCCGCCTTGGCAGGTATCATTCCTACAGAACATGGTGCAAGGGCATTGTTCAAAGGTATCTAGACTTTGTTCCGCCCACTTTCAACAATTTCAAAGTACTGGACCAGTACATAATTACGCATAAGGTACGTACCGTCCAAAATTACATGGGCAGAAGGAGTCGAGGCCGGCATTTCAGAACACAGAACAGGCAGGAAGGGGGAAGGAAGCAGGGAAGTAGGGAAGTCGCTACTCACTAATTTGTAAGGTACGAAGAGGAAGCCGCTACCCACCAACGTCTTGTCCGCCCACTGCGAAGTACGGAGTACAACGTACCTACAGACCAACGTACATGTACAGAGATTATCGCTCTCTGCCCTGCCGCTTCCGCTCCTATCTAACCTCCAATGGTGAAATTTAAGGTAAACACCAACCCACTCGAAACCCCCATTGGCATAACTCTCTCTAACATCTTCTAGGATTCGGCACCGAATTTCCAAGTCTGACCTTTTTTTCTTTTTTTTTGTTTTGCCTTCTACTCCTCCGACGACCTTCCGGCTCTCTCTCTCTCTCTCTCGCGCGCCGTCAATATCCTGTTGCTCTTTTCAACCGCCATCCTTCTGGAACTCCTTCGTTAGAACCCGACATCTTTTGTTTCGACATTCTTTTAGCACCCAAAACGATCAATTACGCTTCCTACCTCCTTATCCGCCTAGTCGTGACGTCCGACATCGCCTCGTATCCTTTTTAGCCTCGACAGAACATGGTTAGACGAACCTACTACACCGCCTAGAACTGCATCATAACTCCCGTACTACCGAGAACGAAACAAAGAAGAAGAAGAAAGGCGAAGAGAAAAGGACGGACCGAAGAAAAGAGGACTGTCGTGCAACACGGTGCAACACGGTGCAACACGGTGCAACACGGCCAGCTCGAATGGTCTAAGACCCTTGTATACAGAAGAAGCAACCGGGCACTCGGGGCGCCCGGGTCTTTCATCTGCCATGTCTACCACTTTCAGACCAGACTCAGAATCACTGCCCGACATGACGCTTCCCGAGTCGTTCAAGTCTTCCTCGTTCCAGTCCATGTCCTCCCTCCATTCCGACGACACCAACACCCTTGACGCCATCGGTCACTTCGAGGACATTGGGCTCGATGACGACGCAGACTCGGCTCCTCAGTACCCGCCGAAGCCCCAGGGACACCAAGGTCGCTCGCTCGCCTCCACGGCCCGTTCTTCGAACCCATACCGCTCCTACTCGTCCGAACGTTATCCTCCTGCTCATGCTCACCCTCACGCGACGCCTGGCCGCTCGAATCCCCTCTCTACCCCCCCTTCCCGAGACCTGGCTGGGGGTGGTGGGGGTGGGAGAAGAAAACCAGAGCCGACCCCAGCTTTTCATCCTCCGCGACCGACCCCCCAGTCTCTGCATACCGAATCGCGTTCGGCCGCCTTTGGCGCTCGTAGTAGCAGCCTCAATGCTCGTTCACCTCGCCCCGTCAGCCCACATCACCGCGGCCTCGCCAGCCGATCCACGACCTCCCTCTCCTTAGCGAACCCGAATAGAAGACACCGTAGCCGCAGCCCCGTCATGAACATGCACATGCACCCGTCATCCTTGGTGCCGCGCGACCCAAACACACACATGAAGCCTAGGAGGAGCAGCTGGCAGTCTACCCGCGAAAGAAAGACCTCTTTAGAGCTAGAGAAGGAGTGCGACGATGACGACGACGATGACGATCACATCCCCGAAGGTATCATCCTCGATAATGTGCCCATCTCGCCCCGTCCCCAAGTGGAACGCTCGCTCAGCCGTGCCTCGTCGCGCGCTCCCTCCGTCGACAGGGGCCCTAAGGAACGCGTTCGTAGTATAGGCAACGGAACCCCCCGTGTCGCCCTCGCCCACGGCTCGCTCAAGTCGCCAACCTGGAAAACCGACCCGCCGGCGTCGCCCATCGGACTGGGACTGATAGGTCAAGGGCCACAACAGGACGATCGGGAAACGTCGCCCGCCTGGGCTCCCGCCTCGGCCCCGGCCCCTGCTCCTGCTCCTGCTCCTGCTTTCGTCCCTGCTCCTCTCAAGGCGCGCGCCAAGAGCTGGAACGCCGCATTGTCCGAACTCAGCACCGAGGCCAAGGCCTTGACCGAAAAGCTGGAGGAGCACGCCGACCAAGTGGGCGACGCCGATGACTGGACCAGCTCCTATGGCTATGGCTACGGCAGCGGCCGCAAGCCGGACCAACGGGTCAAATCCGCCCTCCCGGACCTGCCGTCCCTACGTCAGGCTAACATCATGATCGACGCCATGCCCATGTCCAAGGAGAAAGAAGCCGTCCTGGCTCGCACCCGTCCCTCATGGCTCCCGCCCAAGGACCCGGCCGAGGACCGCAAGCACTGGAAGGAGTACGAGAAGATGGTGGCGCGCAGCATCGAGTCGGACCGTCGCCGCGAGGCCGAGAAGCTATCGAGGTCGTCCGACCGCGACGTCACCGCCGACGGGCTGATGCGCATCTGGGAGGAGAACATCATCCCGCGCTGGCCCGACGCCGTCCGCGAGCGTCGCACCCGCGAGCTTTGGTGGCGCGGCGTGGCCTCGCGGAGCCGGGGTGTCGTCTGGTCACGTGCCATCGGAAACGAGCTGGACCTGACCCCTGCGTCGTACAAGGCCGCCTTGAACCGCGCCTACGACGTCGAGGGGCGCATCGAGGCCGGCAAGGCCGATGCCGATGATTTGCGCAAGGGCGCGTGGTTTTCGAAGATCCGCGAGGATGTCAAGGAAAACACCTGGCAGGACCTTCGCATCTTCCAGGTTGGGGGTCCGCTCCACCAGAGTCTGCTCGATCTTCTGTTCGCGTATGCCATGTACCGGAGCGACATTGGCTACGTTCAGGGCTGTAATGTGTGTGAAACCCAACCCCCCCCCCCAACCCCCTTCTTTTCCCCTCAGGCGGGTGGACATTTGTTCCTGTTCATTTTACTAACATGAAGATTATAGACTGTTGCCGCACTCCTTCTGCTCAACCTCCCAAACACCGCAGCCGCCTTCATCGCCCTCGCCAACGTCCTCAACCGGTCTCTCACCCTCGGTTTCTACGCCGCCGACCTGGGCGTCAAGGCATCGGCCTACAACCTGGTCCTGCAGAACCTGAAGATCAAGTCCCCCGGTCTCCACGACCACCTGACCCGCCACCTCGCCGACGCCGATCCGGACGTTTATCTTGCTAGCGTCTTCACCGGCTTGGGGACCTTGCACCTCGCTATGGACGAGTGCGCCCGCCTGTGGGACGTCTACGTGTTTGAGGGTGACAGAATCCTCGTCCGTGCCGCTACTGCGCTGCTGCTTCGTCAGGAGATGGCGTTGCTGGGTTCCAAGGACGGCCAGGAGATCAAGCTGATTGTTGAGGGCGGGGTTACCAAGAATGGCCGGGTGGCTCTGGCTAGTGGCAATCATGACGAAGGGACCTGGATGAAGTGGTTGAGGGAGGCGGGCAAGGCTGATTCATGATGCAATGCGGGGGTGGACATGCGCTGGCGGGGATCTGAGGAGTTGGTTTTTCGTCTGCTTTCTCTTCTTCTTTTGGTGGTTGACGGTTTGAATGAACAAGGTCTGGTCTTCGTCGCTGGAGAATCTACAGCCGCTTGGGAGATGGTAGGATGAAGCGGAAAAGGTCAACGTTGTTGGGATGGAGGAGGTTCGTTTGAAAGCGATGCGCATGGGGTTTTTGTAATGTATAGACGCCCGTCATCAGCGTCGGGACATTCTCGTGTCTCTAAAACAGCGAACGAAGCGAAGCGAAGCAGAGCAGCGGCCGATATATATCTGCCTCTGTATCTGTAAAAACCAATCAATACAATCACGGGGCCTCGGCTCCCTGTATGCGATTTCAGCATCGTGATGGCAAGGGTGTGTTTTCTCTTGGAACATTTCATGCTTCGCGTCACTTTTCCCCCAGAGGCAATGCCAGATGAGGCTTCTAAGGCTCGTACAGAAAGAAGGAGAAGAAGAAAGAGGAAGAGAAAGGCGACCTTTGATGGACCAAATTCATTAACATTTCCTATGTTTTGCCCTGACCTCGCCGAACCACCCGTTTCGTTCGTTCTGTCCAGGGGAAAACACCGTCCCAGAAAGAGATCATGCAAATAAAAAACAAGGGGGAAAAAAGAACAGACCAGCACCCTGCCGGAAGAGTTCTCCCTGTCATCCTCTCTCTCTCTCTCTCTCTCTCTCTCTACCTTGTCCCCCGTTCCTCCCTTCTATCGGGTCCTTCAGGGCACAATCTCCTCCGACTCCTCGATCACCTCCTCGACAATCTCCTCGATAATCTGCTCCTCCGCATCGTCGGGCACCTCGGGGGTCTTAGTCGCCAAGAGCACGGCGAGCGGGTCCTCGGGGAGGCCGAGGAAGGCGCGCTCCTCCAGCAGCTCCTCCTCGATGGCGGCGCGCCAGGCGCACCACTCGTCGAGCTGGCGGCGGCGGGCCTCGACGACCTCGCGGTCGGCGGAGGCGCCGCGCTCGGCGTCCTCCAGCTCGAAGACCTTGCTGTACTCGCGGAGGTTCTTGCGGATCTGCTTCTGCTCCTCCTTGGTGAGGAGGGTGGGGGGGCGCGGCCTCCAGAGGAACTGCTTGAATTTTTCCATGGGTTCTTCGCGCAGGGCCTCGCCTTTGAAGTCGTAGATGTGGTAGCCGTTTTCCATCTGCACAAGTTTTGTAAGCAAAAGAGAAAAGGATAATTAAAAGTTAAGAACCAAGGGCAAGGAACGTACGGCATGTTTCCAGGCGGAGGAGTAGGTGGCAACAAAACGACCAGAGGGATCCCACTCGACATCGGTAACGCCGTAGTGGTCTCCGGTGTTCATAAGCTGGAGGTTAGCGGTCAGGTCCTTGTCAGACTCGGGCTTCTCGCCCTCAAAGTCGAGGTCGAAGAAGTCGAGGTCCGAGCTCTGCTGGTTGTGGACGGTGGCAATCACGACAAAACGGCCACGCGGCGACCAGTAGATGGAGTTGCTGTTCCTCTTGTCGAGGGTGCGGAGGTGTTTCCAGTTGCCCGGGGCGGGGCCCTTGCTCTTCTCCGGGCAGTAGAAGGCGACGGAGGTCTTGGGGGCGACGGCGGTGGGACCGACGGGTTCGGTGGTGGTGATGATGACGAAGCGGTCACCCTTGGGCTCCCAGGCGAAGTTGATGACGGTGTCCTTAATGGTGTCGAGGACCTCGACGGGAACGCCCTTCTCCTTGACGCGGAAGATCTCCAGGGTGGTGGCCATGGACTTCTTGGACTTGGAGTGGCGGTCGACCTTGGCGCAGAGGAAGGCGCCCTCGGACTGCCAGTGCAGCTTGACGTCGCTGACGTTAAAGAGGTTCAGGGTCCGCACGACCTCCTTGGAGGGGATGGTCATGAGGCCGACCCGGGCGGGGTTGCTGCCGATCTCGGGGGTCCAAAAGCAGAAGAGCTGCTCGTAGGACTTGACACCGTCACGCTGGACGGTGACGGGGGCCCAGTCGAAGTCCATGACGCCGTCGATCTTGATGGAGGTCTTGTCGAGCAGGTTCATGCGGGGCAGCTCGTAGATGGAGAGGGACGAGCCCTGGTTGAGGCGGGCGACGTACTTGTCGTCGGCGGACCACTTGAAGGCGGGCCAGGGGGACTTGCGGGGCTTCTGGGGGGTGGCGTCGGCGCCGGCGCCGGCGCCGGCGGCGCCCGGGGTGTCGAGGCTGGCGAAGGAGCGCAGCGGCTTGGAGGTCTCAATGTCCCAGACGACGTAGTTCTTGCCGTCGTCGTCGATGGTCAGGGCCGGGTGGCCCTCCTCGGGGATGGCGATGGGGCGGGCGGACCAGGTGACAAGATACTTCTCGTTGGGGGAGAAGGAGATGAGGTTGACGAAGGGATGGGCGAAGCGGCGCTGACGCGACCACGAGGGGCCTCCCCAGAGCTGGACGCCCTGGGCGTGTACGGAGGTCAGGTAGGTGCCGAGGGGCGACCACTGGACGAAGCTCTCGGTCCAGTGCATGCGGTCGACGACGATCTCGGGTTGTTCCTTCTCATTGTTCCAGAAGACGCCGACGGAGTCGCCGCGGTACATGATGAACTGGTCCCTGCCCCGGCCGCTGGGATCTTTTAGCCACCAACGCAGATGCTCGTTCGGCTGAAACTCGTCGATATGAGGCGGCGAGTACTCCTCGTTGACGCGGCCCTCACGGCCGTAGCGGTCAATGTCGGTGAGCTTGTTGACGCGTAGGGTGTGCTTCTTGTCGAGGGGGACTTGGTCGAGTTGCCTCACGGCATTGGCGGCCTCTGCAGGAGAGGAGTATTCGACAAAGGCAAATCTACAAAGGTCAGTGGCCATTCCAAGTGGTCCCCGTGGTCCCCGTGGTCCTGTGGTTCACTTCTCACCTTAGAGACTTGCCATCTTCACCCATGGGCATAAAGATGAGGTCTTCCCTCGTCTTACCAACCTGGTTTAGCTTCTTCAGGAGGAACTTGACCAGCTTCGGCTTCTGCTCCTCGTTGACCTCGGGAAGACCATCGATGACGACAAAGGCATCGTAGCCCTGCTCCAGCTGGACCTCGTACTTCTCGCGCAAGTCGGAAATATCAATCTCCTCCTCATCGTAGTCGTCATCGTCGAGGTCCGCCTCGCGGAGGTGGTCGAAGGACGGCGCCATGGTTATGGGCTAGGGATTGTGTCGGCTGCTCCAGCGACTCGCTTTCGCAGGAGGCCGAAGAGGGTTCGGAATAATCGGTAATTGCTCGAAAAGAAATGGATGCCCCGCAAATTCTCACGATCGACTCTTGTCGTGATGTGGTGATGGCAGAGAATGATTTTTTGTTTTTTTATCCCTGCACAGCCTTTCCTGTCGAATCGGAAGAACACTTGAGATCCTGACGGGTTGTGTGCTCGTCAACGGATGATACAGACTTGACGACCCAAAAGGAAAGTCCGGGGCGGGGTGGAAATATTCAGTTGGCGATTTTTTTGCCTGGGTGGATTTTTCGGGTGCACACAACGAACAAACGGTCGCCCAGTTCAAAGTCGATCCGAGCGAAAAATGTGTGGGCTTGGAAAGCCACCCCGAAACCTGGACCCCGCTAAGCCCCGCGAGAGTCACCTGACTTGATAAGAGGAAAAGGCAGGAGCACCAGCCACAAAGTATTGATTACGATAATTAGTACGTGTACGTATTCCCCTACTCCATACCTTACCTAGGTAGGTACCTTACAAGGTCCAGCACACCAGCCACTACCAAGGTCTCTCCCACTCGCAGCTGACAGCCTGAGTTACTGAGCCCCACCAAAGTGACCAAACCTGACAGTGCGACGACAGTTGAACCTGCCTGGTCTTAAAATTTCGAGGAGCTTCCGCTTGACATAAGGGAAGGTACGAATCACGATACTTCTTGATACGACGACTTGCTCACCCCGGGGAGACCACGACGACGTTCCCTTTCCAAGAAACTTTTACCAAGAGACTTTTTAGAGGACGATACAAAAAGAAGGCTGTCTTTTTCTTCTGGACTGACAAAGGACCACCGCTACGATGGTTGGTTTTCTCCCCCCCCCCCCCCCCCCCCCTTTTTCCCGCCTTTTGTCTACTGTTTACTAACTGAACCCCTTGCAACCCCGACGGTCCATAGGCATCCTTCAGCCCGACACAAATCTTCGAAGATGGTACGACCCAAGAGAAGGGTGAGAATGCCCGTCTATCGGCATTCGTAGGCGCCATTGCCGTGGGAGACCTGGTGAAGAGCACGTTGGGACCGAAGGGCATGGACAAGATTCTCCAGTCAGCGTATGTTCTACGTCCCCCCCCCCCCCGGTCTACAAAACTATGTGACCACACGGCTTGTTCGAGCAGGCGATAATAGATGCTAACTGAAGGTATAGGTCAACCGGCGAGATCATGGTGACAAACGACGGCGCGACAATCCTCAAGTCCATCGCTCTCGATAATGCGGCAGCAAAGGTCTTGGTCAACATCTCCAAGGTCCAAGACGACGAGGTGGGCGACGGCACCACATCCGTCACCGTCCTCGCCGCCGAGCTCCTTCGGGAGGCCGAGCAACTGGTCAACAAGAAGATCCACCCGCAAACCATCATCGAGGGCTACAGGCTAGCGAGCCAAGCCGCCCTCCGCGCTCTCCAGGAGATCGCCGTAGACCGCAGCAACTCCCCAGAGGCCTTCCGCAAGGACCTCCTCTCCATCGCCCGCACCACCCTCAGCTCCAAGGTCCTGGCCCAGGACAGGGATCACTTCGCCGAGCTCGCCTGCGACGCCGTGCTGCGGTTAAAGCGGTCTACCGACCTGAGCCACATCCAGATCATCAAAAAGGCCGGCGGCAAGCTGAGCGACTCGTACCTCGACGAAGGCTTCATCCTCGACAAGAAGATCGGCGTCAACCAGCCCAAGAGGCTGGAGAACGCCAAGATCCTCGTGGCCAACACCTCCATGGACACCGACAAAGTCAAGATCTTCGGCGCCCGCGTCAAGGTCGGCTCCACCAGCAAGCTGGCCGAGCTGGAAAAGGCCGAGAAGGACAAGATGAAGGCAAAGGTCGAGATGATCAAGGCCCACGGCATCAACTGCTTCATCAACCGCCAGCTCATCTACAACTGGCCCGAGCAGCTCTTCACCGACGCCGGCATCATGTCCATCGAGCACGCCGACTTTGACGGCATCGAGCGCCTCAGCCTCGTCACCGGCGGCGAGATCGCCTCCACCTTCGACCACCCGGACCAGGTCAAGCTGGGCCACTGCGACCTGATCGAGGAGGTGATCATCGGCGAGGACACCCTCGTCAAGTTCTCCGGCGTCGGCTCCGGCGTCGGCGCCGGCGAGGCCTGCACCATCGTCCTCCGCGGCGCCACCAGCCACCTCCTCGACGAGGCCGAGCGCAGCCTGCACGACGCCCTCGCCGTGCTGTCCCAGACCGTGCAGGAGCCCCGCACCACCCTGGGCGGCGGCTGCGCCGAGATGGTCATGGCCAAGGCCGTCGAGGGCATGGCCACCCGCGTCGAGGGCAAGAAGCAGATGGCCGTCTCCAGCTTCGCCGCCGCCCTGCGCCAGCTGCCCACCATCCTGGCGGACAACGCCGGCCTCGACTCGGGGGAGCTCGTGTCCCGCCTCCGCAAGGCCATCTACGACGGCTTGACCACCTATGGCCTGGACCTGATGACCCCCGGCGGCGGCATCGCCGACATGCGGGACCTCGGTGTTGTGGAGAGTTATAAGCTGAAGAGGGCGGTGGTGTCGTCGGCGAGTGAGGCAGCTGAGGTACGGGACTTTTCTTTTCTTTTCTTTTCTTTTCTTTTGACAACCTCCAACTAACCATTTTTCTACACAGCTTCTACTTCGTGTAGATGATATCATTCGCGCCGCACCAAGGAGACGGGAACGGGCTTAATCGCCTCGTGGGAGCCGTGTGGTGACGCATCGAATTGGGGGGCGGGAACGGGAACGGGAATGGGAATTTACATATTCAGGGCAGTGATGTGATAATGCCAATAGATGATGGACGGCTTAGGTCAGGACATATCCATGACCACAGCAACACTACTATTGTTAGGACCCAGAGGTAGATCAAAAAAGAAATCCGGCGGATGCGACTACAATGAGAGCTTTCGAAGCAACCCTGATATGACGATGTAATGCACATGGCCCTCATTAACGTGGTGTTGGTGACTTTGCTTCCTCTTCTCTCCTATACCAGTCTCTTGACACCCCTCCTCCTGGAGTCGCTTTACCCAGCGTCTTCCGTCACCGGATCAGTGTTGTTGCCAGGATTCCTTTCTCTGGCCCCATACGCCCCTCTCCAGTAGCTTACCGTTGTTATTGATCCCATCCTTCTCCTCCTCATCTCTCCTCATCTTCCTCGCTAAGCTGAGACAGAGGGCATGATGAGTCCCCGCACATGTGGCCACACATCTGTCCCGCTCTGCTGGCCTCGGTAGGCTAGCTATATCTTGCGATTCTGTCTTTCACCTGATCCCGGATTGTCAAGGTCATCGACTGGCCATCATTTCTACCGGACTGAGTGGCTATCAGTTAAATCTCCTGATCAATAGCTGCGTAGTATCGACAGCTACCCTCGGTGGCGGTGGCAATTGAAATAGGACTAACAGGTCCCACTGGCTACTACAGGACTTAGTGCCAGCAATGCCCGCCCGCATGACGGAGACATGAGCCAGCTGCCACAAGCCCACACACCAGGAGTGCTGTCTCTTCTCTTTTACACGTACATACCTTTGTCCTATCAGCTGGTACCCGAATCCCAGACTAGAGAAGCCAGAGGAACAAGGCTGTCCAAGAATATCGGCGCCGGAAGACGGTTCGAAGTCACCAGAGCTCGCAACTCAGCCCATCCTCAACTACTTGGCACCGATTACAGATCATCCCAGACCGAAGACTACTCCTGTACTACGATTACGTGATACCGGCCGCCCGCCTGGCCGGCTAGAGAACCAGGAGCCCGGCGAAAGGATCGAGTTGCTCCAGGGTGTCGTGTCTGTAGTATTCAACTTGTGATTCATTCATCCCGCTCTCTGGAGTCGGGGCTTGATATACAGTTCTGGGATATTAAAGGCGTCCAGAGGGGCAACGCTGGGCAGCAAAGACGTTTGTGGAGGGAAGGATTGCAGATTTGCATGTTCCGGTTGCTCTGGCATAGGGTGGCTCGTGGACGAGACTGAACAAGACCTCGCGTGTGCTCTCCAAAGGTCAGCGAGAAGGGGGATAGAGAAGGGAGGCCAGATCCCCCAAACCCCCAGAAAAATTGTGTCAGGAGACTTGCATGTGGTGTGACGACCGACTCGATCCGATATGGGTTCAGGACCAGGTGCAAGTGAACTGATATGACCACCCACAGAAGCAGGACGAGGTCGAGCCGGGAGGTCGTTGTTTCTCCTCAGGTAGCCTCCGTTCGCCGATCCGCACCGTGTAGGGTAATTATTGATTGAATAATTGACCCTAGCTGTACGACATGCAGAGATGCAGGACAACTGTCAACCTGAGTGTCCCGTGCAGATAGAGAGACGTAAGCAAGAATACCACTGGCTATCGTGAGACTACAAAGGTTGGGAAACTACAAATGCGGATACTTCGCAGAAACCAGGAAGGTTCTCGTTTAATATTCTAATGACTTGATGAGTTGACGGTTTTCATGTGAAAATATCGCGATTTCGACCAGAGCACCATTGAGAGTACGAGAAGTGTGTTGATAAAGTACGAAGGCAAAGGACTGGGCTGTAGCGACGACACAAGACCAAGCACCGGTCCCACGTGGGGGCCCCGCTTCTTCCGTCGGGGACTAAACGGCGCTCCTGGATCTTGGGTCACATCGGATCCTTCTGATCATCCCCTTCACGTACGATACTTAGGTACTTACCGTCCGTGCTCCGTAGAGTTTAAATCAAAAAGAAGCCGAGCAGTGGGAGATATTTCGCAGTCGTTTTGACATGTGATTGCAGCGGGGGAACGGAATCAATGGGACACAAGAAAAATGTATGGGATGGAATTGGAGAATTCCGTTATTCAACAAATCATTGGGGTGTCGTCGTCGAGGATGCAACTCGCAGGGGGTTGGGGGGGTTAAAGTACAATATAGAAGGTACCTGTACATGCAGTCAAGTCCCGACCACTCCGCTTTATCGTGCTAGGCTGTTTTTCCCCGACATATTTGTCCTATCAGAGAGCAGCAATTCGCACCCGAGTAATCTCTATGGAGAGGTACGTACATACAGAGGCGCACAGACTGACCCATCGCCCAGACACCCGCGCAGCGCGATTCTCAACAAAATCAGGGGGTGTTCATCTGTGGTGGGTAGTGCGTGAAAAGGCCGGGGTCGTATCCCCAACAGAGACTTAGTTTGACCGCAAGGAAATGGGATTTCAGAAGTACCGGGACACGAAGATCGATAGAGTCAACATTTTACCATAAGGTACCTTACGAAGAACGAATATAGAAGCTGAGTCGCAGCATTTTGGACTTTGCCCCTCCATTGAAAAAGTTTCTGTGCTTTTGGTATGGGTGACAAACAGGCATATATTTTCATTCTATTCGAACGTAGAACGTGTAAGGAACGTATCAAGCGGCAATTGTGTACCAGCTACCGGGGAAGCAGGATTCGCCATACATTGTACTGGGTAGCCGTACATACATTATCGAACCCCAATCTAGTGAAACTTGGACGAAATATGAACCCCCCTCTTTTCGCCCGCCCTATCTTTCCCTGTTCCTGTCCATCGTACAAGAAAGGAAGCCATACATAACTAACTACAGGTGTACAGCTAATTACGAATAGAGAGATGGGGAAATGGAGGTTCCGTGCAGTGTGTGGTGAACGACAATGTACTATCACATGCCCACGCCAACTTTTACTCTCCCAATTCCAATACCCAAGCCAGTGGCGGACCGGCCCTCTTTCTGGAACAGTTTTACCGATAGCACAAAGCACTGAAGTTGTCTATCGATCGTTTCCGACTCCAGAATCAGGTTACGTAGTTCTTCTGACTCGCCGAGAAGGGGATCTTCCAAGTCAAGGCTTTCGCCCAACACTAGCACGATTCGAGCAGAGTGTCTACGTGTAGGGCAGCTGAAACCAAATATCTTCTCTCTTTTTGTAGGACATCCACCTCGTTGTCTAACGGAGCGTCCAGTTAGAAGGACTGGACGAAGTATCCGCATGACTAAGGTACTGAACACTTCAGACATGGACAATGTGCAGTTGCAGGGGCGGGAGACACTTCCAATCGGGTTCCGTTCGACCGGCATACGCAGACTTCCTTCCGCCTCTCTACTGTAATTCGTACCTCTTCATGCATTTCGTGGCCCTTTTGTCTTGGACATTGATACATGACTTGCTGGTCATGGAGCACTTGCATATGCTCTGGGCCTCGCATCGGATGAAGCGCCAGACCATCAGCACCAGACCATCCATCCCAAGGGGAGACCGCCTGGGAATTATTGGATTGAGTATAGGAGCGAGTGGCGGTGTGATGAGACGATGTGGTGGTTACAAGTCAGGTCGCTCCTGCCGTATGATGGATGTACTCTGTACGATCCGCCCCCACTTGGACAGGAGTGAGGTTCGGTTCTCAAATGCGCTGGCTGGTTGATACCAGACCTCGCCACGCGGGTTCAATTTCCGTGAAGGCCTTCCTTCTTAGGGCGGGCGTCTCTCTACCTTAGACTCCCTGACATAAGGTAGTATGGAATACGCAGGAAATATGGACAAGACAGAAACTGGGGAGCGAGAGGAGGCGTAAAACTGGACAGTTGTTTCAATATGAAGCTTGCCAGGTCTCCATGCTCTATCCGTGCTCTGTTCGGAATTTCTTCGAGATTTCCGGATCACAGCCGAGGCACACTCATAAGGTTAGCGTCGATCGGTTCGATGCGGGTAACCTTGCCGTGACACTGGGATAGAGCTTAACAGATCGTTCATGCCTCCTCCAGAGAAGCTTCACTGCAAGTGACGGTGATGTTGTTCGCTGGTGGGAACAGGAAATTGCGGGGCGTCGGTCGCAAGGGGGGTGCAAAGAAGACCCACGCGTCGGCTCCACCTTTCCCAACAGAAACGCAATGGAGCACCAGGGTCCAGCGCCAAGTGCAGGTACTTCGGCTTTTGTACCTCCTCTCCCCTGATCCTCGTCTCCACTCAACTCCACGACCAGTGAGACAGGACAACAGTTATTTTCCTGGCTGGTCTTGGATAAAGGGTTGACGGTGAGGGCGAGGTGGTTCAGACAAAGGATTTCCCGAGCCCTAGGTCGTCCGAGACGGTTAAGCTTGTGCTTCTCGGCTGGTCTCTTTTTTGGTGTGTTTGGTGTGAAATAAGTGAATAATAGTACGTACCGCAGGCCACATCCCCCCTCGGCGTCCCTGTGCTTCTCCATATTGCGGTCTTGCCTTGTGGACGGTTTTTTTTCATCTTTTTTTTTTTCTTTTCTTTTTTCTCGCCCTCCTATTCTTTCATTTTCGGATCCCTCGAGTCCTGTTTAATAACCTCCTTTCCTCGTCTCCCTTCCCTTTTCTTACCTCTAACCCACCCCTTTACAACCCCTCCCTATCCCTCCCACTTACCGGTACCCTTGGGATACCATTCACCTCGATCCTTCCCCAAGCACCTGGCTAGGCATATTCAACGTCCTAACAGCTTGCGTGAAGCAGGGCTCCAGCTTTGGTCGAAACGAGCAGTTGCCCTTTGAGTTCCTTCTCCCTCATCACAACCCTTCAACCATGGCTGCGCCATTCACCACTTCGCTGCCGGCGAAGAACCCCGTCCTTCGCCGGACGCTCACCGCCAACACGGATCTGGATATCTCTACCCCTTCCACCGCCATGGGCTCTCCCATGGACTCGCCCAGGCACTCCGCCTCCTCCACGTCCCTCTCCTCCCTCGCTTCCGAGCACGCCAACGGTGAGAAGGTCCACTACGGCAAGCTGCTCGACACCTACGGCAACGAGTTCACCCCGCCCGACTTCACCATCAAGGACATCCGCGACGCCATCCCCAAGCACTGCTTCGAGCGGTCCGCCCTGCGCGGATACGCGTACATCATCCGCGACATCATCCTGCTCGCCACCACCTTCACGCTCTGGTACAACTTGGTCACGCCCGAGTACGTGCCCTCCAAGCCGGCCCGCGCGGCCCTCTGGGGGCTGTACACCGTCCTGCAGGGCTTCTTCGGCACGGGCCTGTGGGTGATCGCCCACGAGTGCGGGCACGGCGCCTTCTCGGCCTCCAAGACCATCAACAACCTCACGGGCTGGGTCCTGCACTCGGCCCTGCTGGTCCCCTACTTCAGCTGGCAGATGTCCCACAGCAAGCACCACAAGGCCACGGGCAACATGGAGCGCGACATGGTCTTCGTGCCCCGCACCCGCGAGCAGCACGCCACGCGCGTCGGCCGCCTGGCCCACGAGCTGGCCGAGCTGGCCGAGGAGACGCCCATCTACACCTTGCTCATGCTCCTCGGCCAGCAGGTGATCGGCTGGCCCAACTACCTCATGACCAACGTCACCGGCCACAACAACCACGAGCGCCAGCGCGAGGGCCGCGGCAAGGGCAAGCACAACGGCTTCGGTGGTGGTGTCAACCACTTTGATCCCCGCAGCCCCATCTATGACGACAGGGATGCCATCAAGGTCGTTCTGTCGGATATCGGACTGGCCATCGCCATCGGCGGCCTCGTCTACCTCGGCAACAGGTTCGGCTGGGCCAACTTGGCTGTGTGGTACTTCATTCCTTATCTGTGGGTGAACCACTGGCTGGGTATGTTCTCTCTCTCTCTCTCTCTTCCCCCTCCCCCCTCTTCATCCTGTCGTGTCGCCGCCTGACGCTAACCCGGTCGTCCTGCAGTGGCCATCACCTTCCTCCAGCACACCGACCCTACCCTGCCCCACTACACCGGCGACCAGTGGAACTTCGTGCGGGGCGCGGCGGCGACGATTGACCGCGAGATGGGCTTCATCGGGCGCCACCTGTTCCACGGCATCATCGAGACGCACGTGCTGCACCACTACGTGAGCACGATCCCCTTCTACAACGCCGACGAGGCCACCGAGGCCATCAAGCCGGTCATGGGCAAGCACTACCGTGCCGACACGCGCGACGGGCCCTGGGGCTTCATCCGGTCCATGTGGACGGCGGCGCGCGTGTGCCAGTGGGTCGAGCCCAGCGAGGGGGCCGAGGGCGCGGGCAAGGGCATCCTGTTCTTCCGCAACCGCAACGGCATTGGCATCAAGCCTTCCAGCAATCCCCAGTAGAGAACAATAGGAGGGCTTTTGTTTTCCTGGTGAATTGTTTTTATGCCGCTTCGCATGAAAAAGAAAAGAAAAAAGAGTCCTAAAAGAAAGGAAGGAAAAGACGGGACGTGTGGGAGCAGTAGTCGGGCTCGATCGACTTTGGGGTCTCGTGTTCCGCAACGACGTCGACACACCTGAAGACAGCCCCGATTCGTTCGGTACAGGTCGCAGCATCGTTTAGCGGGTTGATGGTTCTTAATTATTGATTGACCGGGGGGGGGGGGGGGGTTTGGCCGTCGTGCAAGGCCCAGGCCCCGACAGTTTCCGCGGGTTCTCGCAACTTTTGGGAGGACAAGACTCGCGTGCCACCACGATAACGCTATGGTGGGGTACGGGAAAGGAAATACATAATATCGTGAGACCGCAGTACAGAGGAAGGCCCACGGCCCACGGGCAGCGACATGTCAGCTGGCTCTGGCTCGCAAGAGTCGCTGGCGGGGTTGAGACCTCGGGGGGGGGGGGGGGGGGGGGGGGGGGGGGGGGGGGGGGGGGGGGGGGAAGGGGGGGTAGAGGAAGAATAGAGATACGCTAGAGCAGAATTAGAGAGCATTTTTGACGTCCATGTGTTTCTTTCTTTCTTTTTTTTTTTTCCTTTTCCTTTCCTTCTACTTGGTTGATTGATTGATTGACGGAGTTTGAGAAGAAACCATGACGGCGATGGGACATGGGAACATTGAGCGGGTCGTTCAGGGTTTGAGGTGTCGGTGTCCAGGGAGTTCTACTTGGACCAATAAGCTCTCGCCCAGACACTGAGCCGACGAGATGCGTACCAAACCGACTGGACTTGCACCTTCACCCTTCACCTTCACGAGGCACAAGATCTCGCTGGTCTACCAGACGCATCTCGATTCACAGTTACGCGGCATATTCGAGCGAAAGACAATATATATCAAAAAGGCTAACAAGGTCTCCATTCCCAATGTTCCAGAATCCAACCTAGTTCCACAGAGGTCCATTCCTCCCACTCCGCTATTCCAAGGTATGTCGTAGGCTCAAGGACGGGACATAGTATAGGGAAACAGGCCCAGCTCAAGCTTCATGAACCGTCACCTCAAAAGGCCCCGCCTCAAACGGTCCCGACAGTCTCTCCTCATCGGTATACATATTATCCAGCCGGCCCGGGGTCAACTCCTCAACCGGGATAGTCCAGACGCCCATCCACGTCCCCCGGACGGCGACCTTGGGGTTCGGGCCCAGGTCCGCGGGCGGCACGATCTCCTCACGCAGCACGTGTTCTTGGGTCCTCGTCTCGCCGGGTTTCAGGGTGACGAAGGAGTCGCGCGGCGGGGGCATGACGCGGCGGATCTGGATGGTGGGGATGTCGAGGGGCTGGCGCGCGCCGTCCGGGGTGATGGCGAAGAGGCCCAGCGGGAGGGCGGCCGGGTCGAGGGGGGATTCCCAGGTGAGGATGGTGAGGCTCGTGTCGGGGCTGTTGTTGGTCACGTCGAGGGCCAGGGTGGGCGGCGTGGTGGCGGTTTGCCGGATGTGGACGGCGAGGTGGGAGAGGACGTCGTTGGGCATGGCTCTTGCTGCGGGTGGTGGTAGGGGGACTGTATCGTCGGCGTTACTGCTGGCTGCGCGGGTCCAGACTGTGAAGAGGACGGAGATGGCGACGAGCACGAAGACTGCTCGGAGGGGGCTCAGTCGGCTTTGGAAGGAGCTCATGGAAGTCTGCACTCCGTATGGACTCGGATGGTCTTGGCGGATTCTGCCTTTACTCTGCCTTGTTCTTCTTTTTCGTTCTGATTTCTCGCTTCTTTCTTGCTTCTTTCTTGCTTCTTCCTTGCTCAGGTATGGAGGGGATAGTCGTCGATTTATTGTTTATCGGGAACTCGACAGTGGCCAAAGGTAAGTGAGTGAAGAAAAGGAGAGCGGGGTATCGGTAGGTAGGTAGGTAAGGTAGGTAGATATATCGATCGAAGGGAGAATACTACGAAGTACTCTGTAGTACGGATACAATAGTCTCTGTCGAGCAAAAGTCGCACAACTCTATTTAATACGAGTTGAGATAGTTATCGCGAGTCGTTGATGAAAGTACCTACCTAATCTATCTACTCGCCCGAACCCGCTCAAATACCGGAATAGGCAAGTGCAAAGTGTATAGGTACGATACTGGCTGCCTGGAGGGTGACGTCAACATTCGTCGTGACTGGTCCTCCTGGCTTGAGATTGGAATGAGAAGGTGGTATGGACGAGATACTCTTGTCTCGTATGGATATCGAGTAACAGCCCGTAGTATTCATTACCTAAGGTAGGTAGGTACCTTAGGTACTTTATTTGCATGTCTCGATGCTCGACATATGAGGCAATTACGTGCCATCCAGCCTTCGGGAGAAGTTGATCATCGTCATCGGTTCTTATCTGTGGTACAATAAAAGGTAAGTTGTTAGGTACCTTAGACATACATCGGGCTGAAAAAGCTGGGATTCAGTACCCTAAAAAGGCCGGTCGTGTACCTTCATAATTAGTACGGTACCTCGGTTTGCGAGTCAACTCGTACTCCCAAGGTGTGAGTGACTACAGGTAACGGAGGGCACACTAAAATTCCTACGCAGCCGAGCCGAGTCACTCGAATTTCCCCCCATTCTCATAAAAGGCTCGAATATTTTCTTCGTTTGAAACGGGCAGACGAAAGAAGAGCGAGCAGAAACGAAAATTCATTTCCGACCAACGATATCGAGTCTATTTCGGCACGACGACCAATGGCAATGATCGAGGCGCCCCAAGTCCAACATTGATTGTCCGAGTCCAGGGGGGCATAACACAACGTGTCTTATAACGTACGCGTTCGGACACGAATATGTGCGGAATCTCGCGAAAATTTCAGCAGTGAACCACCCAATCGATGTGAGGGGGCATCTCGGAGGACAGGCTGCTTTGATAAGACTTCCATCCACTCCATGCTGCCATTGTCACGTTACACTCACGCGCTCACTGTCCAGCACGGCTTCACTCCAATAGCCATCCCAATGGCCATCCCATCTGCTAGTCAAGGCACGTGGAAGGGATTGACTAGCCCCTAGCACGAGTTCGGCCAAAAGAGACAAGATGACAGGACAGCCCGATGGTTGAGCAGGGGTCACCGAGTTGTTGCAGCGCGGACGTGGACTCGTGCGTGTGACGGAGGACGAGTCAGTCGGCAACCACTCGAAGAATACGCCTAGCCAACCGTTAACATCGGCTCTCCCACCGTCGCGTTACCTCGTGTCAGATTGCTCTAGTCCCGATATTCTAGAAGGCTTGGACTCGCGTACGCCGAAGTTATCCCCAGAGCCTTCCATCAGGATTAAGTCCCTGGCCAAGACGAGGACGGCTGGTTACTGGTTGCTGGTTACTGGTTCACCTGATATTCGAGTGGGTATCTCGTCTGAACCAAAGGACAGAGATATCCTGTTCCTGAGGTCCTAGACCAGCTTGACGACGGGCGCTCCGAGATGGGACGGTCATGTCTCTCAACCGACAGCCTGGGACCCATTGCACCGGAGAGAGGAATCCCTTCCCTTTTCTGACGTCAGGGACCCTAAGAACTCATCGACATTAAGGACAAACTCCGCCATAAAGCCTTTCCCGGGCTTTTGCCAAACGTTCATGGGATCATCGGTGCCGTTGCCCCCTTCCCCTGATTTCCCACCGCAACCTTCGGTCCTTTATCCAGTGTGAACCGAGATAGCAGTCGAATTACACCACGCCCCCTTGTTGATCATCCAGAGTTGGCTGGCCTGGAGCTCTGGTCTGGTTCGGGCTTAGTCCGGCTTTGGACCTTGAGAGCTTCGGTTGGCAGTTCCTTGTTAAGTGGAACTAGTGGCCCGTCGAGTCGCATTTTGAGGGACCACCACCACTGTCCTCCTTTCTTCCGGCTTCAATGTCATGCGCCGAGCTATGGAGCCAAGGTAGACAGGCATCTTACACCGCCGCCCAATCGGCGAGACCTCAGCCTCGTTGAAACCCCCGGCCGGCGTGCTAACTCCACGTGCTGCTCCATACGAGTGCCGAGAGGCCTTGGTTATGCCGGACGTTCCACGTTGATGCCCCCGTCGTCGCTGTCGTCTAAGTGGAGGCCGTGATGATTCCTATATTGATCCGTTTCTTGCTAGTCATCCTACATGTCCACGGGAGACCCTCTGTCGGATAACATCAGGACTAGACCCCCATGCTTCCTGATGCTCCATCCATCCGTCTCTCCTGGCCTTGCTCTGAGGCCCCTCCTCTGCTATCTAACCTAACCAACATGGAGTCATGAGCGGCGGAGCTAACGGGTATCCCGGCCTCAGAGGCTATCCGGAAAGATTCCAGTATAAAATGTCTTGCTCGTCCTCCTATGATATCGCGATACCAACCGTCGCTATCCCTTTGCTGCCATCTCGACCTCGACCCTTTCTCTACCCGACTCTCACTCCACTCAGACTCTCAGGGCTTTCCATTCTCTCCTCTCCAGTCCCGTTCGTTCATTACCGTTTCTGTGAGTCTTTGTTGCTTTGCTTATTTCGACACCATCGACATAATGAGGCTCATTGCTGGTGTCACCGCCCTGGTTGGTCTTGTGACCGCGGCTTCAGTTGATCTGAGCAGGCGTGAAACCCCTCTCGAGGTCAAGCTCGACCACGCCGGTAACTCGGTCATTCACGCCTCCCTCACCAACAACGGCGACGAGGCCCTTAAGCTATTCACCACCGGTACCTTCCTCGATGACAGGGCCGTGGAGAAGGTTGAGGTCTACTCGGGTAGTACGTGTTTTCCGGGAATGCCCCTGGCCGCGCCGTCCACTAAATAAGAGACACTGACCCCCTGCTATAGACACCAAGCTACCGTTTGACGGCCTTCGCCTGACCGTTTCCACCGTGAACCTCCCCGAAGACGCCTTCCGGGTCATCAACGCCGGCGAAACCATCGAGGTAGACTTCGACGCCGCCGAGCTGCACGACCTCAGCTCCGGCGGCGACTACGGCATCCAGACCAAGGGTGCCTTCTCCTACGCCGCCCTCAACTCGACCGAGGTCGTAGGCGTCGTGCCCTACAGCAGCAACACGCTCCACAGCACCATCGACGGGTCCCACGCCGCGAGCGTGCACAAGGAATTCCAAGCCAAGGCCAAGCGCACCATCGTGCAGGGCGACTGCCAGGGCTACCAGCGGACGGCCACCGAAACGGCGATCCGGAACTGCCAGCCGCACGCGGTGCGGGCGCGCTGGGCGGCGCAGAACAACCCGGCCAAGCTGCAGGAGTACTTCAAGTCGACGAGCGCCCACGTCAAGAACACGGTGACGGCCGTGTTCGACCGCGTCGCCTACCAGTGCGGGTCCACCAACTCCGGGGACACCCGCTACTATTGCAGCGACGTGTACAGGGCGTGCTCCGGGGGCGCCATCGCCTACGCGCTCCCCTCGCAGAATTTCATTGTCAACTGCCCTACCTTCTTCACGCTGCCGGCTTATTCGTACCAGTGCCATGCGCAGGACCAGCAGAGCACTGTCGTCCATGAGATGACGCATCTGTACAAGGTCGCGGCCACGGCTGATTATGGCTGCTACGGTTATAACTGTGTCAGGGCGCTGTCGGCGGCGCAGAACCTCAATCATGCGGATACGTATAGTCTTTTTGCCCAGTCTCTATTCGCAGGCTGCTGATCTGGGATGCGGTGAAAGATGGAAGGCATAGAGATATCTACATGATAGAATATAGATGGTGATAGATGATAGAAACCATAAAGCGTGGAATTCGTGTCGCTGCACTGAAGGGCGGAGGACGAACTATCATCATTCCTACATATTAGTAATACTATATTCTAGGTTTATACTAAGTGGTAGACATGAACATGAAAATGGGCGATATCAGAGCGTGACTGTAGGTCAATTCGGAGCACAGGTCGATGTTACAACGCTTCTCTCTCCTCCTGAGCGTGGCATTTATACGTGGAAAGCAAATACAGCTCTCAGCTCCTCAACTTCAGCCAACCATGACCTGTCCTGGTGTCTAATCCTTTTATGTTTTGCTTCACTACTCTCCTCCGCCCGTCCTCGTTTATTAGGGATTGCATTAGGTATTACTGGGCCCAGTGGTGGACGACGTGGCTCGATCATCGCGGCCCGTTCAAAGTCAATCATCATAACGCCATCAGTCTCCCGACTAAACAGCATGTTATCGCGGCGCACATCCTTATGGACGACGTACTGTCGATGTACAGCCTGTAGTGATTCCATAGCCAGTGTGCCCAGCCTGTCCTTGGAGACGCCAGCCGCCACTGCTTCGGTGAGACTGCATCCTGCCCAGGACAAGAACGCCATGTACACCACATAGACGCGGTGTGCATAGTAGTAAATTTTGTTCATCGGGCGAAGATCAACGGCCCCTAGGAACACCGGTACATGCCGGCCTTGGATCGGGGAAAGACGCTCGTACACGGCCTCTTCGTGCTGCAGATCAGGAATGAAGACTTTCACGGTGCCTTTGCTGACGAACGTGTACCCATAGGCGAGCAAAGTCACCTTGAACAGGACCCCGCGGGCGCCGCCGTGCCCCAACGGTACGATGCCGTCGTCGAGTGACCGTTGAAGCTGGTCGTGAAGCAGAGCGAGCCAGCCCGCGTGGTCGACGGGGTGGCGGCCAGGATGACACTTTCTTCGGTGTAGGTTCACATTCGGGCATGCTGGGTCCAACTCTCGGCCCTTCACCAGTCCAAGGAGACATTGTTGCGAACAGTACTGTCGGTCTCGCTGGTCGACAGTATCGACCCCGGTCTCAGTGTTGGCCGAAACTTCGGCATCGTCCGGCCCTTCGCCTTTCTGGTTTCCGCCTCCGCGCGGCCGTTGTGCAAGAACCCGCTGGCTCCTGCGGGGACCGGCGGGCGTGGGTGTTTCTGGTGCCGTCCAAGGCGATTCATCATCCCATGGCGGCCCGGGATCACCGTCCGTGTTGAGGGGTCTGTCGTCACACTGGTCCCGAGTAGCGGCGCGGCGCCTTAAACGATTCATGACGGGTGATCGGTCAACATGTTCGTATGTGGTAGGCCCGGGAATGAAGTCAGCATCGGATGACGCCGTCCGTTCATTTTCAGGTATAGATCGTATCGTCGTTTCAAAGTCAACGGCCCAGGTGCGCAGGTTCTGTGTTGCCCTCTGGCGCTCTTCCTGCCCATGTTCACGTGGCCCTGCCATGGCCATGAGGGTAAAAGACAAGTACTGAGCGACGGCGGTGCAAAGGTGTACCTGATTCGGGCGTGCCAACGCCTCGGGGCCAGGTTCGGTGAGATGGTAGTATAACGTCCCCGGATCATCCCAGTCGATCTTGAGGAAGACGATGGCCTCGCCAGTCGTCAGGAGACCGTACTCCAGACCACCCTCGATCATGTAGTGATACGTTTGGGTAACCGCAGATGCGGTCAATTTGTCTGCGTGGTATCGGAATTGGGCGGCTGGATCGACCGAGGTTGGGATTGTCCTCCGGTTGACAACATCCTTGTAGATATTCATGGGGCGCAGACCAAGACGGAGGTGGGGAGCTGTTAATTTATGAGGCGGCTTGTATTCGCAGACATAGATCATGGTGCGCCTTTCTTCTTGTGCACTGTCGGATCGGTAGACGCAGATTTGATCGGCGCGTAGCTGATGGATGTTATACCCCTGGTCGGGTGTCTGTGGCCGCGTTGATGGAGACTCCCTCTCCACCACTTCCTCGGCGAGATTGCTGATCGCATGGGGGTGGTTCTCAAAGATGATTCCATTGCCGATGTTGAAGGTTCTGGATGCCTCCGGAACGTCTTTGAGCTGCCCCATGATAATCCTGACCGGATCTTCCACGCTGATGTGAAGGAAACCTTCGAGTGTCTTCTCGTCCGCGACTTTTTTGTTCGCAAACCTGTCCCCTAACGCGGCTAGAAAGCTTTTGTTCTCGAAGGCGCGCCTCGTAAGTGGGAAGGTGCTGTTAAGAGTATCGAAAATAGACCTCTGCTCGTCGAGGAAATCGGACCACGGCTGAAGTTGGGTAGGGCACCATTTGTCTCGAGGGTTGGTGATGGGACCTTTAGAGGAAAACCTTGGATCTGTCTCGACGGAAAACCGGGAGAAGACTAAAGTATGGCAGGCGGCAAGATATTCGGTGAGGGTGGTCGGCCGGGTCTCTCGCTCTGCTTTCTCAGCGCGCTGCCGTTCTTTCTCAGCGCGCTGCCGTTCTTTCTCAGCGCGCTGCCGTTCTTCCTCAGCGCGCTGCCGTTGTTCCTCGGTGCGCTGCTGCGCCTCTCGCAAGAGTCGCTGAAGCTCTTCCACACTCTGTCCCTCCGCCATAATCAGCGCTCGCAGGTGTAACAGGTGTAACAGGTGTGTATGGTTGCCAAGTAGTCGGACTGCCGAGAAGATATGTGTTATGGTCGAGGTTCTATTCTGGCCTTGTTCGGAATGGTGGAGGGATCACTTTGTCGGGGATGAGTGTGTGGTGAAGAGAGAAGAGGTGACGTAAGTTGATGCAGGAGCGGGGGACTATATATGTTGAGCTTCCTCCTATTAGGTAGGTACAGAGGCACGATGGGCGGGGAAAACAAACCTTAAGGTTCCAGGTTGTTTTGAATATCGTGACTTATTAACTATTACCTGGTGGTAACACCGAGAAAGGGCGTCCGGGCAAAGTATCTAAGGAAGTATCCGTACCTTACCACAGTCTTGTACAAAGTCCGAAGTCCTACCCCGTTACTCGTGCAACGCCCCACTTATAATGGGTTCGTTTGGGCATATAAATGGTGAGTCCAAACGAGCGATTATAAGTGGGGCTCTGCACGAGTACCTACCCCTTCGTACCTCAATGTAAGTCTAAGGTACCTTGTATAGAATCTGACACCAAGGCAGTCGGTGATATTTGAAGCATTGAGCATTTATTTCCTCACCGAGTGAATCACACTCCAAGTGCTCGTTGATATATATTTTTGGAAATAATACTCGGCATTCTGATTTCGAATAAGAGAATTTCTTTATACTTCACTTTCTGCAGATCCTCGAGTAAAGGGATGGACTAGCTTGGCAGTTGAAAGGAATTCCTTTGCTGCTGGATTAGGGAGGCAGGGGCTAGGTGAATATAGTATACACCTACTTGCTCTAAGAAAGAACAGAAAGAGCAAAATGAAATGGGCACCGTGCTCTAAATATCCAGCTACCCGACGTCAAAAAATGAACGTCCCTTCCCTTTGCCTTCAGTTCTTTTTCAAACCCGGAGCTCGGTTGTTTGGCTAGAGATGTTTCCTTCCCGTGTTTGACCTCTCTCCATACAACCCCCGTGCAACGAAGCCATTCACGAAAAAGAAGAAGAAAAAAGAATGTACATTATCTCTGCCTGCTTCCTCCTCCTGGGGTTGGCAGTCGGTATTCTCGCCGGCCCGCTACACTCAAATCTAGAGGTTCGACAAAAAGGCCAGCACGCCCCGTACGAGGAGCCCACGCCCGAAAACCAGCCCGTCGTCAGCTATTGTCACAGCTACTACCTGCAGGCCAACCAGCATTACACTCTCTGGGCGCAGTGCTATAAGAACGGGGAAGGGTTCAAGTGGTCTCGGCTTGATCTGCGCACGTGTCTCGGCAATGATGACGGGCAGCTCGTTTGGGATGCCCAGTAAGTTTCTTCTTCTTTTCTTTCGCGGTTAAGTACTGGGGGTGCTGACGACGACATCTTCCCAAACAGTGGTCACGCACATGATTCGTGTCGTCCGCGTTCGTGCTCTATGAGACGCTGGCCTGAGTATACCTGCGCATGCCAATCTCGCCTCGGATCGTGGGGAAACACCGCCATCGACCTCTGTAAGTCACATTCCGGGCAAGTGTGAAGAAGTTAAGGAGCCAAATGCTAACGAGAATGACAGCTGATGGACAGGATGTTGACGGTGCCCCGATTGGACACAATTCAGGCAAAGGCGTTCTGACTTGCCTTGGCATTCAGGGAGAACGTGTCAGGAACCCACATGAGCCCGATGAATAGATTATTGTTTATGAAAGAAATGGGAGAAGAGGGCATGGTAGGATAGCAGGATAATAATTAATATCAGGCTCGTGGTTATGACCGATTGTCCGCGTTGGTAAAAAGACGGTCTATTTTGATCCAGCATCAAGGATCAATGCGAGGGTCGACTCGTCGAGTTGCCCTATGTTGTTCTGTTCGACCATCAGTATGGCTCTGATTTCACAAAAAGAGACCCCCTCGCTGAATAAAGGGCTGAGAGAACTTCTCTTTCTATGCGCCAGGCTTCGGTCGTTCAACGAGACGGAAGTCCGTCTTTGTTGAGCATTGGGATGGGACGATATGTTACCCAGGGAGAAGAAAGGGGGTCCAGGGCCAGGGACAGGGCCCAGGGTTGGCGCTAGGAGCCGGCTCCCGCAACTCTATTTCGCGGGGAAACTGTTTAAAGGTACGAGGATGTACGATAGTCCATACCTACTTGGCTGTCTAATTTAGTGTGAATAAAAGTTTCTTCAAGTCTCGTCTACCATGCACTTTTCCGAACCGCACGACCTATTTAGGGCGAAACGGAGTCGGTTGATGCGGAGCACAAGACATGCAGGTAGTGTAAGTAAGGTAGGGAGACATTGTCAGATAAAGCGTAGTCAAAATCGTCACAAATAGGTCAAAATTGATTAAGGCAATTATGTATATATATAACTGTCTTAGACTATTAGGGAAACGCTGCCACCGTATTTTATATAGTGCAGATTCTGTAAGCGTCCATCCGGATTATACTCTTAGTAATCCGGCCTATTACGTAACCGAAAAGACTATAGTCTATTCGACACACCCCCTAATCGCCCCAAAACGTTAATTAGGCGATTAAAGCTATTCGTAACCGGCAGATAATCCAGCTATATAATCTATTCGCTGTATCCGCCCTTAAATTCATCCTCCAGGTCCTCTAAATATTCTATCCGGACTTCCTCTAGCTATTTCTACTATAACCGTTCCCGTATATCTATCACGCCTACCTAGGACCTGAATACCTTAAATTTCTCGCCGTATAACGCCTTCGTTAATCCGTCTACTATTATTTCCGCGCTCGTAACGTATATTACGAGGATCTACCCTTATTCCTTTACTTAACGTAACTAGTAGCCGTGGATATCGATATAGCGGAGGCGCGTTATTAATATACTAATCTCTTAATCAACTAATCGAATCGTTTAGTTATCATCGTATAAGATCCTTAATTCCGGATCGTTCAAAGTAATAGGCGTTATATAAAGATACCCTCTTTTACACCTTATACTAACGCTAATAGCTCTGCTTCCGTTATTAATATCGTGACTATATCCTGCTTATTAGCGCGCTACGCGATTATGCCTTTAAATAAGCGTACTATATACCCTTAACTGCTCTTACGATTAAGGGTATTATCGGTAAATAAGGCGTTAGTGTAGATTTCGATAGTATCGCTACCCCCTAGTTCTAACGTAAACGATTAGCTGTTAATTAGATAGAGGATTAGATAATCGGCGGCCATATAGTAAATAGGCCCTGGATTAACGTTAAACCGGTATAGCCTAGATACTATAAACGCGATATTAGGCCGTGATATCACTACTACGTATAGTATAGATCCTATCTTCCGTTAATAGCTTTTAACGTTAGTTAAGGTCCCTGAATAGTATAGTAGCTCTTATAAATAACTGGTTATAGGTCGTGGCACTAAGTGAGGTTATAATAATAGATTATCTAGAACTAAGGAGGGAAAAGGGAAAAAGGAGAAAAGTCTACGGTGTTAGGCTAGCTATATGGTAGCGATAACTTAGCGATATAGGTCCGTTAACTAAGCGCGTAATCAGGAAGATCCGGAGTATAGCCGGATCCTCTATATCGGGGTTAACCCGTAATACTATCCCCCCCTCCCCCTTTAGGGGTTACGTGACCACGTATTACCGTCGTGGTTCGTCTCCCCCTTATATCGCGGTGATAAAGGAATAATCGCGTCCTTTTATCTTACCTCGCCCTTACCTCGATATTAAAGAAATCTTAGGTCGCCTACTAACCTTTATTTATATACCTAAAATAATAACGTAGGCCCCCCTTATATAGATACTATCCGTAGATATATCGGGCCCATTTTCCTTATAGGCCCTTTTTTCCTCTATTCCCCTCCTTACCTTTAATAATAATAATAATAGTAATAGCGGTTCTATACGTATTCGTTCTTCCTTATAGCGATAACTCTTCTAACTTCTCCCGTCCTCGGATAATATTAATAATACTTAGTTAGTTTAAGAGTTCTCCGTTTAAGGTAAGCCGTCTCTCGCTCGCGATCTATTATAAAGAAGCCTCCGTTAATTTATATCGTTTTATAAACGGCGTTAGCCCCTAGCGATAATAGAGGTAATAATAGTAGTAAGCGAGCTGCCGATAATAATATAGGTATAATACTCTTACACTTTAAAGCGATACTAACCGTATAATAGTTCGCGTTATCGCCCTCGCCGCCGCCTAAGAAGAAGAAATCGGCGGGTAATTAGCCTCCTAAGTACCCTCCCGGTAGCGTTTATACCGAACCGTGCCTCCTTTACACGCGCGATATTACTAATAAGAAGTATAAGTGCCTTTATTATAGCTAGATTAGTCGGGGGAAGAAATACTACGTGTACTCTACGAAGATATACCGGTATACTCCTCTCCTAGCGTACCTTAAAGACCACGCGTAGAGGTTATTCGAGACGGCTACCCTTATTAACGACGATAATAAGAACGCCCCTATAAGGCCTCCTCCCTTTCTAAGGTCGCGACCGCTTCGCTAACCTTCTCTTAGGAGTAAGAACCGTATCTTAACGCCTACGCGGCGTTTTAGGATACCCTTATAGCTAAGGAAGCGAAGATAGCGATATTACCTATAGCTATATATCCCGCGGAGGCTCCCGGTATAGTAATCGCGCTAACCCCTTCTCCTTCTTAGGAGGTCGAAGAAGAGGTAGCACCGTAGTTAGCCTCGCTGCCTCTTCCTAAGGTCGTTAACGAGGTAACTAAACTAGCCTTACTTCCTCTAATAACGGAAGTCGCTAGTAAGGTGGTTATATTAGTCTTTTCTCCTCCCTTAGAGGTTATAGAAAAGATAGCGTCGGGACTAAACGTATTGCTTCCGGAGGAGGTTATTACTAGGGCAGAATAGCTAGCCTTATCTTCTCCTTATAAGGTTATAGGTAAGGTGGTAGATTCGAGCTTAGTCCCTCCTAATATTATAGCGGAAAAGAATACCCGTCCTACTACTCCTACTCCCTTATCGGGGTTAACGTTATCGGATAAAGAGTTTAGGTGCCTTAGTCTTATAGAGCTAAAGGAGTATACTCGGCTATTTAGGGAGATACTTATACTCGGTCGCGCTAACGTTATAATCTCCGAATTCTAATAGTACACAGAGTATAGGCGGGCTTTTACGCTTACGGGTATAAATATTATTAGCGTGGTCGTAATCCCTAATAACGATAATAACGATAAAGACGATAACGAGGTTAAGGAGATAGACTCCGACCTATAGCGGGGCGATAAGGGTAGACTTTTACGGAAGTCGATAATCTCGAGGATAGCGATTTTAAGGCCGAGGATATCGATCTAGACTTACGTTAAGTATAGTTAGGGCGCGGGGCCTATCCGGTCTAAACTAAATCTAACTTTTACCCCTTTCCGATTATCGCGATATAATCCTTTATATATCGGTTCCTATATTATAATAGCGTAAAGGTATTTAACGGGCTATTATTCGTTATTACTAAGCCGAATTTCCTTTCGAACTTATTAAATACCCGCGTTTACGCTAATAGTTCTAGCGGTTTCTATATAGGCTTATAGTATCCTACCTATTATACTAGTACCTTATATCTTAATCCCCTACCTTACCTCTTTATCCTCGCGTAGAGGATTTCCTTAACTTCCTATTCTTTACTATCGGTCGCCTTTTAAATAGGCGGTGGTTAAGGGCCGTCTACTACCTATCCCGGAAAGGGGTTATCGCCCGCGTGATATAATAGGTCTATATAGAATCGGGGGTAGATTTACGATAGTATAGCGAGCTTAACTATATATAGGCTAATTACCTTTATAACTCGGTATTTACGATAAAGCTAATTAAGCTTATAGGATAGTCGCGGAGTCGAGTAATTAGCTGATAATAGCTAAACTAAGTCGTTAACTTTGAAACGCTTAGCCGGTATATGATATTAGTTAGTAGACACCTTATTCCGGAGCTATATCGATACGATCGCGGCCTAGGCGAACTCGGTCGCTTCCTATAGACGTTATAGTAGGTTATAGGCCGCTAATACTCTAGGTTCTATAAGGGGCTTTTCGGTTATCTAGATCGGGTCGATATAGTAGCCGTGTTCTAAGAAGAAGGGACTAAACCCCGTTATAGAGCTCTCGCGGTTATTTAGGGCTAGTTATACTACGGGTAATAAGCGATCCTAGTCGTCTTAGGTATAATAGATAAAAGCTCGTAAATAGGCTTATACTTCTTAGTTTATACGCTTTATTACTTTATCGGTCTAGGGATAGTATACCGTGCTAAGCTTACGCGATATTCGTGCGAGCTTATAAAAGTGCTTCTAGAACCTACTTATCTAGTTTAAGCCTTAATCACTAATAATCGACCTAGGTATCCCGTAAAACCGGAAGTAGTAGTATAGGAACTATTCCGCGTAAGCTTCGGCTTCTATTATCTCTATTATTTCTAATATTATAGCCTTAGTTAGATAGTCTATAATAACGTAAAGGTAGCACGCCTTTTTTTCGCCGGCTAGTAGTAAGTCCGTTATAAAGTCTATTAATAGGTTGCTCCGTATTCGTTCTAGCACCGGGAGGGGGCGTAAGAGGCCTTATTTCGTATTTCTCTATATATACCCCTTTCCGTAGACGTTATAGTTTCGGATAAATTATCGGATATCCTTATTTATCCTCGGCTAGAAAAAGCGACGTATTATTAAAGCGATAGTGTTTTTATATCCGGGGTATCCTCCGATTACTAAGTCGTGAATTAACTAAACGATCCTCCCTTATAACGTCGACCCTTCCGTGGACCCGGGCACTTAAATTCGGTCGCGGAATAGTAATAACCCGGTCGTAAAGACTAAGTACTCGGCTATTTATAGCTTTACTTCTAATAATAGTAAGAACTATTATTCTTCTTTAGTAACCGTAGATAGGGCTCCTTAATACTATTTGTCGGTTATAAGCGTCTTATCCTATAGTTATTATAGCTTTTAGTCCGCCTTAAAGATCGTTTAACCGCTATTAATACGGCGAATACTAAGTAGAATCAC